CCCCCCCCGCCCCAGCCACACCCCTCAGCTGGCTTTGCTACAGCCGCTGCAGTTACAAACACCACCGCAGCGCCCTGGTTTGAGCCAAACAGAACCAATTCTGCTCTGAATTTGCTCTGCTTAGCTCAAACCAGGACACACGGCTGTGGGCTGGGCATTTTTCCCAGGAGACCGTGGTCCAAGCAAGTCATGGACGCGGTACCACGTCTGGCTGCGGGCTGGTTTACACGGGGACAAGCCCAGGAAGGTCAATCCCAATTAACAGAAGGGGCTGGCTGCACATGGCTCTGCGGAGGCACGTCTGTGCCGGGGTGCAGAGCAGGACACCCAACCCACTGGGAAGGCACATTTCCTCTCCAGAGCCACCCACGAGTGTCACAGCACTCCCCCCTTCCCCCACAGCCACGGTGTTCCTGGAGCTCTGGAAGAGGCAGAGAGCCACTGTGGTCACCGACTGGGACCTGTACAGGTGGGACGAGGACGAGGTGAGGACAGTTTGCCTGCTCTGCACTTCCCTTCTCAGGGCAGGAGCTGGCTGGACCTATAGAAAAGACGTGTCACAGGGACTCCCTTGCCCAGCTTGATCCTCTGCAGGTGTGAACATCCAGTGGAGACACTTAACCAAGCAGCAAAGCCAACACCTGATAGTCCTGGGAGAGACAGAGCCCTCCAGGCAGATGCGAGCCACTGCTCTGCCCTGCTCGCCACCTCTCCACCCACACAAGGGCTTGGACTCCATCAGGACTGGGTTGTGGGTTTGGGTTGGGTGCTTGTCCCCGGCCTCCTCTGGCGCTGCTCACCCCATTAACGCAACATTCCCTGGACTTTCCACTACCTAGGCACAGCTCTGCTTGTCCCTTTCTCTCCCACTTTTTGAATTTTTAAAATTTTTTTCTATTCAAGGAGGAGCTGGCAATGCAGCTGATCAATAATTTGCAGCACGAACCGCGGAAGTACCAGCACTCCTACTTCCGCAGCACCATCGTACTCCTCTTGGGTCTGGTGATGGTACGTGCCGAGGTGACCACAGGGAGATCTGGTCTAAGGGCATGTGGGCTTTCCTCCTTCCCTCCCTACTCTGCTGCGAGAACAGCACCTCAGAGCATCCCAATGCTGGAGCAAAGGCAGAAACCAGATTGTCAGGGCAGGTCCCTGCCCATCGCCAGGAGCCAGGGGCCTCCGTACACTCACACCTTGCTGTGCCAATGCGAGCGCCCAACACGCTTGGGGGATCTGGGCTGAAGGCTCTGCTCTCGCAGCAGAGGGCAGTGAGGGACAAGGTGTTAACAAAGAGGGTAGGAAGGGGGAGACCCTTTATGCCTTGATTTCTCCCCACTGTCCAACAGAGACAGTTTAGACAAGTAGTTCAGGTGGAGACGTTCACCTTAGGAACCTCTCGTCCTTCACTGAAGAGCACTGGCTTGGATTGGAGAACGCCTCCAGACGAGCTCTGGTAAAGGGAGTCAGAACCAGGGAAAGGGACACCTTTCACTAGACCAAGTTGCTCAAAGCCTCATCCCTGCCCATGGCGGGGGAGCTGGGGCTTGAGGAGCTGGTGGTCCTCAGGTGTGATGGAGCACGTGCTCTCCACACACGGCTTCTCACCGCCCCGCGGCTCCCCTCCGCAGATCGCCGTGCTGATCGGCATCGCCCACGCACTCGTCATTTACCGGGTGGTAGCGATGGCTCTCTTCAGCCAGAGCAGCTTCGAGTTCCTCCGCGAGCAGGCCGACACAGTGGCGGTGGTGACAGGGGCCGTGCTGCACTACATCACCATCGTCATCATGACCAAGGTGCGGGGGAGACATGGGGCGGGCAGGTTCCGGCTTTTCCACCATCGACCCTCCCCTCTCATTTTCCATCTCTCTCCTGCAGGTCAACAGGAGCGTGGCCCTCTTCCTCTGTGACCTGGGTAAGAGGAGCTGGGGGCTGTCTCCCACCTCCACCCGCTCCCCCCGGGGCCGAGCTCCC